GCTTAGCTTCAGTGGGTTGCCAGTTGTGAGTTGCAGGGTGATATGGCTGCTGGCTGATTGGCTGGCTGATTGGCTGGCTGATTTGTTTGATCAATGTATTCAAACCCAAATGTTTTGGAGCGACTCCTTATTAAGGTCTTCAGATATTAAGATTTCGTTTAAGGCGTTTGACACTTTTATTTTACACGCCCAGATATAAAAAGTTTATATTGATAATACATCTATTGCTAATTATTGTTTGATACCATGTCCATGAAATGGAAAAAAAAGTCTTCTCCAAATAATAACCTATTTAAAAACAGAAAATTGAATTTTACGTTAAAACTATTCAAAATAGCATAAGAAAGCTAAACGAGACGTGGAAATTTTTAGTTGAACTCTGTAAAGTAGTTGAGTACCACCGACTATTCTTACAATGTATGTATATTTTGTTCAATGTTAAATGTTTTTTGTTAATGGTTATAAATGAAGTATTTTAAAAACAGCAGGACCCGGTGTCCAGCCCAGGCCGGTCCGGTCCGGTCCGGTCCTCTGCTGGTTTGGGTGCCGATTCGGAGGATCCGGACTCGCTCGTGGTAAAGGGCACACGCACGCGGTGGAGCCTGGGGGTACAGTTTTATTAGACGAGGCGGTGGCACCGTGCTTCTATCTTACAGCATTCGTATCGTTTGGTAGTTAAATATGACCACGGAGTCCAATTTATCCTAAGCGTCTCCTGAAGCCTTTCAGGGCCCCTGGCAAACCGCGCTACACGGCCGGACCCGGGTCCGGTACCTGACACCGCTGTACCGACTTCAAACTGGACAGACCTTTGCGTGTTTATCATGTACATGTCATATATATCCATACTGCAAGTGCTGTCGGAAAAGAGTATTGAAGACTCAGATTGTCTCCCACCTTATCCGAATTCTCTCGACGAAGAGAACAGGGCAGACGCTGACGGGGAATAACTTCCAGCACTTTCAGATTTAAGAGAAGGCGCCATGTAGTTTATAAAACCTCGTGATGTCCTTTGTGAGAACGGACCCCCCTTCGTCTTTCCGGAACAACCGAGTTCAACGGGGCAGTTTGAGAAACTTACTCCCCACGTTGACAGATATATAACCACGCACACGTCTGCAGGTGCGACAGGTTTCCACATACTGCAGCCGGTACAAGAGCCAGCGGGTCCTTCAAGTCCTGTAAGAGACAGCTGCGTGCCCTACCGGTGGCGCCCACGCCACGGCGCAGTCCCTACCGTGGCCACCAGGGGGCAGACTGGCCACGCAGGGCTTCCGCTCTTGCTAATGTAATTGCGGAACGCAGCTCTAAATATTTAAATGACCATTCATTACAAAATGGCTTAATAACAGTAAACCAGTAATATACTGTACCGTCACAGGGATTTATTTACAGGGGTGTAGCAACAGGAGGCTTCGGTTCTGGTCCAAACCCAAAGCATGCTGGGCTGGATGTTCCCTTTCTCGCTGAGCTCTGGGCTCCTCTTGAACCGAACTTTAATTCTCTGATTGATTAGTGTTTCTGCCTCTTTTCCAGATGCCGGAAACTTTAAGATGTGTTGTTGGTGGCTAAAACAG